TTTGGAAGGTAATGGAATTTCTCCACAATTTGCAGCCTACTTACACTTCTGTTTCAACTTGGTTTTATGTTTAAAATTGCATCCACACCCCAATCTCCCACCTTTCAGGACAGAATGTATCCTCCATCCTATCGTTTATTTGTCTGAGTTACAGGATCGCCTTTGGAAAATTCTACATGACTAAATAGATAATATGCACAGAGGTACTATTGTGAGAACTTCCAAAGCGTTTGTCTCCCTTGTGTGCTGAAGGCTAGCATTGAACAGACACACGTCTGAAAGATAATTGTCTTTTTTTTAAAAATTATTTTAGATACTTTTCAAAGATGGCACATATCCTAATGCTAATTAGTTTGAGTTATTGATGTATAGTTATTTTTTTAAGGCATCAATTTTTCTTGCCTACGCATGTGCTGATAGGTTGGCTCTCCAAATATTTTTGTAGGAAGCAATTTAAACTCTTTTTAGAACTAACAGTTTCTGAAGACCTGCCACAGATTCCCACAATGCTCTAGGAACCCAGTTACATTACTGGATATCTCAGAAGTCTGGGCGTTTGCTTTTAGAACACTTAGTGTGTGTGTGTGTGTGTGTGTGTAACACACACAGCTCCTGATTCAATGGCATAACACATGTCTTTTATTACTATGAACTGGGGAGTGACGACTTATTTTCATATGCCACTTTTTGACAAAGTGACAATAAGAGAAAGCTCCCCTGGTTCTTATACTGAGAGGGCTTCTAATAAAATACACCACAAGATTTAACTTAGCTGCCGCCTAAAGACACGTGCTGTAACGTCACCGTGTGTTCTGAGCAGGCTGTCAGTGTAGCGCTTCTGTTTCGGTAGATTGTCCTGCCCTCTTTCAGCAGCAGCCCATTACTTCAGTCAGTGCACACTCTGCCGTGACAAGGCAGACTTAGGAAGACTGAGAGAGCTCAGCCCAGCGCCATCAAGCCTATTCCAGCTCATGGCGACCCTCCCTCTAAGGGTTCTGAGGCCTTGGAATTCTTTGCCAGAGCAAACACCCATGTCTTTCTGCCACGAAGCAACTGGTGGTTTGAACCACTGACTGTGCACTTAACTGCCCAGCTCTTCCCCAACACCACCTTCAGGACGCGGTCAGAGTTAAACGTCCTGGCTGGTTACGCAGCGCCTCTAAGACGGCAAATGAATTACCAGAGGGTTTTCCCAGTAAGACTAATGCGCCGGCCAGAGTTCCTTCTTCTGGTTCTCGTGCCTGTTCCTTCCGGGGACGTCATTAAACACAGATTCTTGTAAGGAATAAGGAAGACTAGAAAGTTCGCAAAGGACAGAAACAAAATAGGCCAGAAAATCGATAAATGATGCCGGGCAATGCAAAGCCGGCTCAGCTCTGGGTCTGGTATTGACCCATGCGAGAAGCCCAGTGCATCTCTCATGGAGTACCTGGCAGGAACAGCAGAGTCGACCAGAGACCTCGGGTCCTGGGACTCGACCGCAAACTCTTCCAGGCTCCAAAGCCACCAACAAAACTGTTGTGCCATCGAGGTGACTCCTACACATGACAGCTCCGAGTGCTGCAGAGTAGAACTGCCCCGTAGGGTTTTCTTGACTGTAATCTCAACAGCAAGTTATTTCCAAGCCTTTCCCACAAACTCTCTGAACCGCTCCCACCTTGTACTTCCACATCCTCTGTTTCCAACCAGCAGTGAAACACAGTTTACTTTTATATTAAAATGTGCATCAAACGTCCACCTCCCACCTTGGTCCCTCTGGGTAGGTTCAAATGCCAGCCTTTAAGTCAGGAGTTGAACACATCCGTTGCCAACATCTAGGGATCAGCCAGGCTCCGGGGCATCAATAAGCTTTCTGCTTGTCTATGGTGGGAGGAGAATTTCGATGGTTTCCCTCAGATTTTAAAAATAAGTCTTTAACTACTGTTTGGGGGGTGCTTTGTCCTTGTGTAGGGATTTGTTCCCTTCCTTGTGAGTGCCACTGCTGGAACCACCGTGTATGGAGCATTTGACCCCCTCTTAGCTGTGGCTGACATCTGCAAAAAATATAAGATCTGGATGCATGTGGACGTAAGTATCCCACGAGAGGCTGGCCCTTAAAAATCTTTGTGCACATTTGTCATCTGAGGCCCCTAAGATGAGTTCTTGCTTTGTTTTCCTTATTACTTTATGGATTTATTTTCAGAATAGTGATATTTATTCCCTGGGAGGATTACAGAGGCATGGTAGCGCACACCTCACACAGTGCACAGCATTCAGAGCCAGAAGCCGGCAGGAGGCCGATTATGCCCTGATGCCCCAAACTCATGATTTAAAAAAAACAAAAGTATGACCAGTATATGAGGTGTACCTTTAGATCTGTTTGTTGAGCCACAAACGTGAGTGAATGAACAGTCTCCAGATGTCATCTTCTTGCAAGAATGCTCAAAAGAGTAAAAAGAAATGCATGTATATAGGAAGCTTAAACGATAGACATCTCAGCCTCAATAACATGCGTTTCAAGAAAAATAGACTTGACAACTTCCTCTGAAATCTAGATTGCATTTCCCATCACTTATGAGCTTGATCCCTAAAGAGATAGATTCTATTTGAGCTGTTTTGACTACATGCTTAGCCAGACTAAAAAAAAATAATGGAAGTGTACCCACCAAAACACTTTAAAAATTATTATTTTAAAAATTATTTTAATGCAGTCATTTCACAAGATTGAGTTGAATAGATTTAAATTTAGACCCTTATTTTTCAAATGTGTTTCAAAAATCACCTGCAAACCGTCGGTTAGCAATCTGTGGTGTGATCTAAGGAGCCTTGTACCAAAGCATCAGTAACACAGTGTTTAGCTTAGCTGGCCTCTTTTCCATGGCAAGACTCGCTCGATGAAGGTGTACGTGAGTGGGCTGGAGTCTGAGATGGTGGAATAACTCCCCAAAGTGACCTCATGTTCACAGAACCTACGTTGCTTCCAAACACAATCAAAGCCACCGACAGCAAGGTGATGCCACCTCGTGTGGCCCGATAACCTCCATCGCGCTTGTGAGACTGTGAGTACAGCTTTCTGGGCAGACAGCCTCGTGTCTTCCTCCTACGAACGACTGGGAGGTTTGAACCACAGACCCGTTAGTGGCCCAACACTTAACCCACTACACCACCAGGGACACTTCTAAGTTGCTTAGCGTCAGAGAAATTATTTTCACCTGCAAGACAGTCTGTGTTCTAACAAGATGCCAAGCCATAGAAATCTGGCCAATGAAAAACTGCTACCGGGTAGGCGGTGTGTGACCCTTACCGTGTACAACATTCCCTTTCCAGGCAGCTTGGGGCGGAGGTTTACTGGTATCTCGGAAACACAAGTGGAAACTGAATGGCGTGGAAAGGTAAGCCCGTTCTTCTTGTTTTCAGTGAAAGGTCCGCGCATTCTTTTGTTTTCTATCAGTGCCAGGGAGAAACCCAAATAGGAAGAAGCACATTTCCACGCCACATCCAGGGGCTTTGGGGACACAAGGGAACTCGCTTGGTGTTGCGCTGTATGCACTGCCTTCTGCGATCACTGCGTGCTGGGTGATTTGGAAAAGGCCAAAGAAATCAAAGCCCATAGCGGTTGGCCCAGGTGGAATGACTCTGAACTAGATTCCTAGCCCATGTTTCACTGGAAGTTTCAGGAAGGACCTCTGCGTGGCCTCTGACCCAGCCGCCCGAATTGTTGAACACTTCCAGGCAGTCGGCATATTTTTAGGGAGAAGCTCACAGCTTTTGAGTTCCAGCAGAGGTCGATCCCCACCGTCTTTATCGGAGCCAACAAATAATGTTGCAAAGTAAATAAACATCTGGTGTTGAAAGCTTGGGTTTGATACGTCAGCCTTGCTAGCTTACCTGAAGGCTGACTTCCTCGTAAGCACGGCAGCTCGGAGTTGCATCCTTGGGATAATGTTTCTGATGCGAGTAGCGCTGACTGCTATTGGAAAGCATCTCTTAAACAGAGCGTAAGCAGTGGACATACCATTAAGAAAAGTGCAACACACACACACACACACACCACAGGACAACATATGTTTTGGCCCAAAACACGAGATAAATTGAAAGGCACAGAATACTAGCTCTGCCTGAGACTGGTCAGCGCCCAATACAAGAGGAGCTCCGAGTTCATAGGCCACTCTCTCACAGGCCGCGCGTCAGAGACAGGGCTGAGTTCTGATGCGGCAGACGACTCCGAAGCCCTGGATTCATCGGAGGCTGCCAAATGCCCACCATGCCCTCTTGCCAACTGGCCAGATGCTACCCAGGGAAAGTCCTCCCACACGCTCTGCCCTGAGATGACTTGGTGCAATATCTGTTCCAGGCTGAGGAGAGAGGCTGAGGAAGCTGGCAGACATCAGTCAGCACAAAGCCCGATTCCAGGCTCATGCCCAGAGAGTTCACAGAGCAGGGGTGGTGGAATCAGGAGTCTGACTGACCATGTTAGTGGGAAGACCCCCTGCGAAGAGTCAGGCTAGATCAGTTAAAGACGGTGATTGAGTGTGACAGTTACTGAGATCGGGCTTGGGTCTAGCTGGGGTAGGGCCCTAGGATTGTCTTACTCTGATTTCAGTCACCCTTTCCATGGGGGTAGATGACGGTGCTAGGCAGGCCGACCCCTCCCTGCCCTGACCCTCTGGAGATTTTCTGTCACCCAGATGTGTGTGAAACCAGAATCCGAAGCAGGGGGTGCTGTCCTAAACTGAGAAAAGCATTGGAAAAAATGAGAACGAGTTAGAAGGTGGCCCCATCAGATCCTCCCAGCAAGATCTAAATGCCTGTGCTTTTCAGAGAGGGCCCTGCACCCAGCACATTCTCGCCTTTGAGGTCCTTTCCGGCTGGTGCGCGCGCGCGCGCGCGCACACACACACACACACACACACACACACACACACACACACACACACACGAGTGTCTGTTATTCTATCATTAATGCCATTGATGGCTCCCACCGCTGAAAGCCCCGGCACCCCCTCCACAGCGCTGACTTGAAAGCTCCCTACATTACCGCCCCTGAGCCTCAGAGAAGTAAACGCCCACAGGCTTTTGTGCTCAGGACCATTATTTGAGAGCAAAGCTCAGAACATCCACCGTGGAACAGAGTCCTCCTCACTGCCATCTCTCCTGCCTCCATCTCGTAATTAAACCTGCTCAATGTCAACACCAAAATGCGGTCCACACCATGACCACACAGGGGCTGCCGGTCCTCTGCCCACGTACCACTCCCTTAGCCATCGAAAACCGAGAGTGTTCATTCTATCCACTTATTGGCAAGAGAATGAGTTTCTTTGCTGCAAAAGGCTATAGGACCAGTGGCAGACCCTGTGAGTGGGCCTGACGTAGGGTTTAAAAAAAAAGTCTGACTTGAGGGCATTACATTTTCCCAAGCATTCTAAAGCAAAGTCCCTGTGGAGAATGTAGAGGTTCCCCGGGGATCCCAGGGGGTCCCCAGACTCCATCCTCATAACGAGATGATGGAAGCACAGCATCCTATCCAGCCTCCCCTTGGAGAACCAACCAAGTTCTCAGAGAACAAGGGGCTTCCTTGCTGACACCATCGGAATGTCTGGAGATGAGCTCGTTTGCTGAGCACCTGGATTTTCCACATGTCGTTTCTGTGCACTGTGCACAGGCCTTTCCCTGGTCCCTCCTTGTGCAGGCTCCGAGCCCCTGGGGGCTGCTGTTAGATGCCGGCCCACTAGCCAATAGCTGGCTGCTTCCATCCACCCAGAGGCGCCCTGTTACCGGCAGATCAGGTCTGGGAGGCCCGTCCCTCTTTTAGCCGAAAGACAGAGACCAGGTTGACTCAAGAAATTCTGCAGGGGCTTGGCAGAGGGGAGTGTGGGGGTTGCAGCTCCCCCCCCGCCCCCCATACTCACAAACTGCTGCAAAGATTCGGTGAAAGGCAAGCAAGTGATAGTCCCGGCATTAGGGGCAAGTTGAGGGAGTGTTTAGCAGGTCTGCCCCAGCACAGAGGGCTTCAGCTGGGGGACAAGGGAGGGCTGGTTCCCAGAAACACGAGGCATGCTGTCACCCCCTCCAGGTCTCAGGCCCCATTGCTTATACACCTGGCCTGGCTTGCTCAGACCGCTTTGTCCAGACGTCTTTGTGTCTTTGTCCAGACTTGCTGGGTTGGAACCGTCTTACGTTTAAAAGCGAACCCTTTCCTGGGAGGAAGGAAGTGGGCGCTGTTTATTTGCGTTTTAGAAAACGAAGTGCTGGCAGACTAGGTCCCCAAGCTAGCTCCGTCACATTTCCGGAGCTGATTAACAGTGGGCTCGCCGACCCCCTCTCTCCCTTTGGACGTGGTGTAGGTGAGCTGCTACCCAGAGTTGGAGTCCTCTCCATGGCAACGAGCTGCCTCACTGTGCTCTCGGCCTCCTGGCCCAGCTGAAGGTTCGGATGCAGATATCTGCTCCGGTACCCATTGGCCTCATCCCCACCCTGAGAGCCAGGAGTTCAGCGGCTCAGTCCCGCGGTAGCTGCATGTCCCTTAGAGGGAGGCAGACCACAGAACAGGGCACAAAGAGGAAGGTGCTACGAATCCTGCCTTCAAGGAGTTGAAACTCCAACAGGGAAGACAGACAATTAACCAAACGAAAACCTGCGCTGCCAGCAATCCTGACGCACAGACTCCCCGCGGAGGTTTCCAAGGCTGCTGATCTGCCCCCGGGGAAGTCTTTGGCCTCATCTTTCTCCGGAAACAAACAAAACCAGCTGAACCCCTCACCTTGCATTGAACTGCCGACACCTCAACCACAGGGCCACCAGGGCTCCTCAGACAGTAGTGGGCCAAAAGTCAAGACAGGGAGAAGTGAGACAGAGAGAAAGATTCTAGGGGATTAGAGGGTGGGGGTGCCTAGGAAGAAACGGGTCTATTGAAGGATGCTTTCCAGAGGCTGAGTGTCGGCAGATGAGCTGTCTTTACCAGGCTCGAAGTGCAAGAGGGTGTTCCAGCGCAAGAAGTGCCGAGAGCTGGGCCCCGAGGCTGGGAGGCACACGGGCCCGGGGAGAGAGTGTAGACGGAGATGGATGCAGGGGCCACGGCGGCGGCGGTGGCAGATGGCAGTAGGATCTTAGTGGAAAATCCGGAAGTCCTGTCCAGGGAGTCTCCTCAGTGGACCCACCTGCCGAGCCAAATCAGAGTCACCAGGAGGAGCCGCCCAAATGTTCGCGCAGAGAATCGCTGCTGTGTGTGCAGTGGATATAGACAGGCGAGAGTAACCAAATCCCCCCGCGGTGTTGGGGGGAAAAAGATGAAGATTGTCATTGTGACTATTACCTCTTTGTGCAGTTTGTCATGGTAACTGAATTAGAGAAGCCAGTTCGAAACAAGAAGCTATTCCGAATGTCCCAGCGCAGGAGGCAAGGTGTGAACTGACAGGAACTGAGAAGCGGAACTGGACTGGATGACGCCATGAGAGGGAACTGAAGCGCACACGGAGGTTTGGAGACTGGACGCCTGAAGGGATGGCTGCAGGCATGTTGCGCAATGTGCCTGCGACCACAAAGCTGCCGAGCGACAAGAGCTGCCATCAACAGCCAGAGCCAACGTTATCTCGTGCTTCTGGGTCAGACACAAACCTCAGGCCTCCACGCAAACTACTGCTATTCTTCTGCAGCCAAGGAAATCGAGGCACAGAGAGTTTTGTTAAAAGGAGCACGGCTACAAAGTGATGGAACTTCGGTGGGAAGCCAGATTTTCTGGCTCCTGAACCCCACTCCCCTTAACCACTGTACAGTGAACCCTCGTTTATCGCGATTAATCGGTTCTAGACCCTACCGTGATAAATGAAATTCCGCGAAGTAGGATTCCTTATTCAAGTCGAAATGGCGTGCAACCTCCATGATTTTCTTGCCATCTTTGATCATATCCAAAAGTTTTACCTTTTCCTGGATGGTGAGCATCTTCCTCTGGCGCTTATTTTTATTGTCAGAAGGATTAGAAGAAGCAGCTCGTTTAGGAGCCATCATAGGGCTTAGATAAAATTTCTTTAAAATCGCAAACAATTACAGTACACTGTACAAAAGCAAAAATGCATCTGATACGTAGCTCCGATACGTAGCGATGCAGACAGAAGCATGCACAGTATGAGCCAATCAGTGGCAGTAATGACAGAGCATGCGCTGTTACTCAAAAACCGCAATAGAGTAAAGCCGCGGAAGTCGAAGCGCGAAGTGGCGAGGGTTCACTGTAATCTACTGCTTATAGCGATGGTTCCTTGATTCAAGGGTTATTCTGTAGAATAAGGAGATAATTTTCTTGCAAAGGTATTTTCTATGAAACCATTTACTGTATATACTCGTGTATAAGCTGAGTTTTTTCCAGCACATTTTTTAATGCAGTTTTTATGGTAAAATTAGGTGCCTCGGATGATATTTGGGTCCGCTTACACTCGAGGATATAGAGTAACCTTCTCTCCAGACATTTAGCTATCTGGACATGTGCTGTCTTTGATTCTACACACACACACCATACTAATCCTAACTATATCTATACACACACACCATACTAATCCTAACTATATCTACACACACACACACACACACACACACACACACACCCCATACTAATCCTAACTATATCTGACAGCCAGTGTCAAAGCTGGACTATTCATTTACTCAGATAGGATCCCTGGCCACTAAACATTCTCTGCCTGGCCAGCTGACACCCACCATTCATCAGATGAACGAATGGGATCTTTCCTAGCTGGCTGTATCTTCCCAAAGCTCAAGCACCCCAAGAACTAGGAGCAGGGTCAGCCCGAATCCACCGTTTAGCAAGAAGAAGGGCAAGCAATCCTGGGGCCCTCTGGATGTATGGTTCCATGCCTTCCTTTCCTCCAGTGGGTTTATACCAAGGTCACCTTCATGAGCTTGAGCCTCCTCCCCCCGGGGATCCCCAGTCTCAGCAACATGTTAAAAAACCAAAAAGTAACATATTTATGAAACCATCTCCTAGTGGAGGAAGCAATTGGTAAACAAACATAGAAGACAAGACTTATTGATAAAAATAGGGTCCTTGGAGACTCACCTTGCCTAAAGTCTGTGTGAAATGAACCAGGAGAACCTTACAGAGGAAACGGCCATTTCCCCAGGGAACTGGGGAAGGAGGTGTATGATGGGGGCTGGAACCGCACAGTGGTGTGAGGGAGAGGAGCCAAGGAAGGCTGCAGAGGTCATATTTGGTTCTGGGCTCGAAAGAATGAGGTGTACCCAAATGAAGCTAACAAAAGTGACATCCCGGGTGAAAGGCATGCCCTGACAAGGCTATTCCAGAAGCAAGAGAACAAACAGCATTTTCAGAAGACAAAAAATAAATAATAATAATAATCCACCTAGTGACCGACAAAGGGATGCAGTAGGCTGGGGCTCTCCCTTGGCAGTGTCATGAGCCATGCACTGCCATCTGGAATCTAGGCAAACGGAGTCGTCATCTGGAATCTAGGCAGATGGAGTGGTCATCTGGAATCTAGGCAAACGGAGTGGTCATCTGGAATCTAGGCAGATGGAGTGGTCATCTGGAATCTAGGCAAACGGATTGGTCATCTGGAATCTAGGCAGATGGAGTGGTCATCTGGAATCTAGGCAAACGGAGTGGTCATCTGGAATCTAGGCAGACAAGAAGTGGTCATCTGGAATCTAGGCAGACAGGGAGTGGTCATCTGAAATCTAGGCAGATGGAGTGGTCATCTGGAATCTAGGCAAACAGGGAGTGGTCATCTGAAATCTAGGCAGATGGAGTGGTCATCTGGAATCTAGGCAGATGGAGTGGTCATCTGGAATCTAGCCAGACAAGGAGTGGTCATCTGGAGTCTAGGCAGACAAGGAGTGGTCATCTGGAATCTAGCCAGACAAGGAGTGGTCATCTGGAGTCTAGGCAGACAAGGAGTGGTCATCTGAAATCTAGGCAGATGGAGTGGTCATCTGGAATCTAGGCAGACAAGGAGTGGTCATCTGGAGTCTAGGCAGACAAGGAGTGGTCATCTGGAGTCTAGGCAGACAGGGAGTGGTCAGCGGTGTAGGAATGGAGAGGGCTAGAAGCAGAGGGGTTTCTCGGGTGACCTCATGGGGGATGAAATGGAGCCCCCAGTCGGTCGAGAGGAGCCTTACTGCTGTAGCCAGATGAAAACAACAATCGTCCTTATTTTTCGAAGAGTCCAAACCAGGCCTCGGGCTCACATTTTCCTCCAGGAACTTACATCCTTGAGTGGAGAGTCGCCGCTGTGTGGGTCGCTCATTATTAGGGACACAAGAAGAACGCTGTGTTTTCCGGGTGACAGAGATTGGTCACTTCTATGATTTGGAGGGATAGCTCTGGATTTGAGAAAAGATGGAAGCAGGAGACGTAGGAGGAGCCATTGCAAACAAACAAACAAACAAAACAACGTGTCAGACATTTGGTAACCAACTCAAGAAGAGGGCGACTTGGGCGGAGAACAAAGCAGAAGCAGGGCTGAGTGAGCGCTCCACATGTACCCAGGCTCCAGACTAGTGCCGGGGCGGGGCCAGGAGCCCCGGGCTGGAGGGCCCTGTGTGCAGAAGCAGCTTCTGCACTTGCCTGGTGCTCTCCACTCCGTCGTCGTTTAGAGTTAGGGTGCTGGCAGGTGATGCCCCTCTGCATGGGCTGGGGGTGGGGGCGCAGTCTCGGCTCCCCCTTGGGGGCTGAGTGAAGTCGCACGTGGGAGCTCGGGAGACGGTGGCCTTCTCAAGTCTTAAAAAACAGTGATGACAGAGTGACACTGCTGATCTCCGAGTCCCTGGGTTATTTTGCTCCACATAAAGGTTGACGGTTCAAGCCCTGGAAGACAGGCTGAGCATGCTGCTTTCCCCAGGCCACCGCCTTGGCCGTCCTGGCTCTGACACACATGGGGTCAGGCACCAGGAGTCAGAACTGGTCTGACGACAGTAGTAGTTGAGTTTTTATTTGCTGTCTCTCAGGCTTGACCCCTACTTGGGATTTGCAGCTGCCCTCCAAATATACTACCTCAGAATCTTGGTTATAGCCAGATCCCCAGGTGGTTCCGAGGGGCTAGAAGAATGATCCGGGGATCTGGTTAAAATATCGATTTCTGAATCTATATCTGGGTGGAAACTGTCAATTCTCAGTGGGGAGTGGAATGAGATTGAAGCCCCAGGGACCCCACTGCAGGTTTTCTGGGTCCACTATTAGCTTTGTGCATTCAGTGCTCTCCTACTCCCTGTGAAGCAGTGTTGTAGGGCCTGGGGGCCCCACTACCGTCCACGGGGCCTCACTAGCCTTAGCCAATGTGTTAGTCAGTGGCCTAGAGAAACAAAGTCACAGAAACTCGTGTGTAAGAGAGTTTTAGATAAAAGGAAATTGTACATTAAGAAAGCATTCCAACCCAGTCCAATCCAAGCCCATAAATCCAATATTAGCCCATATGTCCGATACCACTCTATAAAAGTCCTCTTCAGACTCACAAAATACATGCAATGACACCGAATACAGGATGACCACAGGCCAGTGGGTAGAAAGTCTTTGGATCCAGTGGCATTAAGCATCTCAGTGCTGGCAGGGGTCTCCATGTGGCTTCTCCAGTTCCCAGGGCATGGGGTCTGTCAGCGGAGTACCATGTGTCTGGTCAGTAGAGGGTCTCCAAGGGAGTGAGCCGAGAGAGAAGTGTCTCCCGCCTCCAAGGAGGGAAGTACAGGAGTTCCCAGAATCCTCTGGAGAAGGCCGTGTCCACACAGAGGCCTCATTGGTTATATCTTGATTGACAGGCCACATCTGCCCCTTCACTCATAATGCTCTCAATTGACACCAGATTAGGGAACTACCCCAGCCACGCTCTGACATGATGTGGTTTGTTTTAGAGCCAACTCGGTGACATGGAATCCACACAAGATGATGGGCGTCCCTTTGCAGTGCTCCGCTCTCCTGGTTAGAGAAAAGGTAGGTGCTTCTCGCCTTGTCTGATTCAGGGCCTGTGCGCGTGTGTCTGCCTCTGTCCGGTTGATTTCCTCACCATTGATTATTTTAAAGTCTTTTCTTTGGGGTTGCCCAGATCCCCACAGAGTACTCTTCTAAACTCCTACTCTTGCTTCTCGCTGCCATCGAGTCGGTGCTGGCACAGCGGTGCTCGGGGACAGGAGAGCTGCCCCGGGGTGGGGGTGGGGGGCACGGTTAACTCTTCACAGGAGCAGAGCATCGCACCTTTCTCACTAGGCGAGGCTGGTGGTTTGACCTGCTGCCTTTGCGGCCAGCAGCCCAGCACAGAACCGCCAGGCCCCAGACGGTGCCTCAGTTTTCAAAGTATCGCCTTGGACCTGATCTTCAATATTCACCAAGACTCTCCTTTTTCTCAACTGTGTCTGGTCTCCTTTAATCCAGAGGACTTACATTTTCAAGTCTTCATTTTATTTTACCCCACCCCCACCTCATATGTTGGAACTGAACTTGTTTGTCACCAATCACTCCAAGCCTGTGGCAGCTTTAGTTTTACTCCTGTTGGAAAAGCACTTAGATCAATGATTCAGGTCTGAGAGGCAAGGCATCTGGAAGGATTGTAATTTTATTTCTAAAATCATTTTATTGGGGCCTCTCAGAGTTCTTATAACCTTCCATACATCGATTGTATCAAGCATACAATGTTGTCATCATTTCCAAAACATTTTTTACTTGAGCCCTTGATAGAAGTTTCTCTTTTTCCCCTCTTTCCCCCACCCTCCCACCCTCATGAATCCTCGATTAATTATATATTGTTGTTTTTATTTCATATCATGCACTGTCCGTTGTCTCCCTTCACCCACATTTCTGTTATTTGTTTGCTTTTTAAAGAAGCACACTGAATACAGTTACACATCCCATCTCTGCAAATCATAGCACTATCCCAAGAGATCAACAGCAACATCCCACCAAACCCTCCATTGATGTGGTTCACTTTGCCCCACCCCCACCCCCTCATTGTGCCTCCCTCCGCCCCTCCCTCCTCAGAATCTAGTGTTGTTTGTTTGTTTTTCTGGGATGAAAAAAGAACCTAATTTCTCCATAAGAAAAAATACACATACTTATAGGATTTGGGTTACTATTAGAATTTAGGGGTAGCGTGTGTGTGTGTGTGTGTGTGTGTGTGTGTGTGTGTGTGTGTGTGTATGAGAGAGAGAGAGAGAGAGAGAGAGGATGCATGTCAGTTGTACTCTAGTATGTTTAGTATTGTGTGTGTGTGTGTG